TGTTGACTGCCACAGTTCACTCGTGAATCTCACATCCCTATCACTAACGATGGACGTAGGCAACCCAAAATCACGTACCCAATTATCCATAAATATTTTGATGACGTAGTCAATTTTGGTTGTTTCTGGCATGGCGATCAGTCTGGCGTACTTGGTAAAACGGTCCACTATGACAAAGACGTGTCTTTTTCCTGACCTGCTGGTCACAAGGGTATCCATGAAATCCATGGACACACTTACGCAAAGACTCACTATTAGCAACACATGGTCTTTTATTCCCTGTCTTCTCGAGAAACAGCAAGCCATCTACCATCGTAAATTCGTCCAAAGTTTTTTTGTCCTTTTCTTGGAATCTACGGATGATCTCTGACATAACTGGATCTCCCTGATAGGCTTCCACCAGTGATCGAGTGAGTTCGTCAGATATGCCAAACTCAGTGACTAGCGCGCTTGATAATCTGCCCTTCTTCATAGCGCATCAGCCACTGTGTTGTGCGTACCCTTGATAGGATCAAGTTGATAGTCATACATGTCTATCACTTGAATTCATCTCTTGAGTGCGTCCGACAACACAGGCTGTGTCTTAATCCAGCGCAAAGTCTCATGGTCAGACCTCACATAGAAGAATCTTCCTAGGAGGTAATGTCTCCAATGAACTCGCGCTCTGTACAGGGCGTAGAGCTCTCTCTCATACGTGGATTTAGCTAACTTTTGAGATGGCATCTTCTTGCTCATATACTCGATCGGTCTCAACTTGGGCCCTTCGTGTTGTACAAGGACCGCGCCTATGCCATATTGGCTAGCGTCTATGGTCACAATGAATGGCTTGTCAGAATCCGGAAGTTTGAGAACTTCGTAGTGTGTCAGAGCATACTTCAATTTCTTGAAGCTCGCTTCACACTCTTCAGTCCACTCCCAAGGGGTGTCAAGTCGAGTTAGATCTGTTAATTGGGAAGCTATAGTACTATAGTTCTTCAAAAACGGACGATAATAGTCCGTCATCCCCAAAAACGATCTGACCTCAGTAACAGTCTGAGGTCTAGGCCAGTCACGTATGCTGGCCACCTTCGCATCTTCCGGCCTCAATCCATCTGCTGAAATTTCATGACCCAAGTACAAGATCTTGGTGCGACCAAACTCACATTTATCCAAGTTTACCTTGTACTGGTGTTGTCTTAGGAGACCTAGCATTGTTTTCAAGTGCTCAGCGTGCTCCTCTACAGTCCTACTAAAGATAAGAATATCGTTGAGGTACACGACGATAAACTTGTCCAAGTACTCATGAAATATCCGGTTCATCGCGTGCTGAAATGTACCAGGCGCATTGCATAGACCAAAAGGCATCACCACAAACTCGTACAGACCGTACCTGGTCTGAAATGCGGTTTTGTGCTGGTCCTCAAGTCTAACGACAATTTGATGGTATCCGGACTTCAGATCTATCTTTGTGAAGTACCGACATCCCTGCACCCTATCCAAGAGGTCGTCGATGCGGGGTAGGGGCTCCGCGTTCTTAACGGTGATGGCATTGAGGCCCCTATAGTCAATGCACATCCTTAATGGACCTCCCTTCTTTGGGACAAATAAGACTGGCGCACCGTAAGGGGAGGTACTAGGCCGTATCCATCCCTTCTCTGTGAGCTTCTTGAGCTGGCGGCGAAGCTCATCTAACTCCGCGGGAGACATCCTATGGATTCGTCCTCTAGGCACCTTGGTACCTGGGACAACCTCTATCGCATGTACAACCTCCCTTTCCACCACGCGTGTGGGCTCCTCAAAAAGGTCTGAATATTGTGCGACGACTCTTTCTATCTCTGGGGGTGATTTAACGGCCTCCCCTTTCTCAGAGACAAAGACTAGATACATGCCCTCCTCTCTATTCTGCTTATAGTAGTTATAGAAAGATGAAGCACACATACACCCGTAGTTTTTTATTAGACTGCTAGCTTTATACTTCTGCAATCTAACCGTTCTACAGTTGGGCAATTTGTGGATCAACACCTTTCTATCCCAGTCAAACTGAGGTTGCGAGACTTCGAGGTAGAACATGCCTAGTAACATATCGAATGGCAGTTTGTCGCTCACCAGGAAGGAGATCTTATGGATCACTTCCCCTCCTCCATAGGAGAAGGTGCAGGCTACGTGCTTGACATAGTTTTTGACAACCATTTGGTGCTTGTTCGCTAGCGTAGAAGCTACAGTTTTGCTAAGCCGCTGCACTTGGTCCCCTAAGCGCAGTCTATCCACACAAGCACAACTGATGAAATTTCGTGTAGAGCCTATGTCTGCGAAGGCGCCAACCTTGCAGCCACCTACATCTACTTCTACCACGAAATGTTCACCCTTTGGACCTCTACTGATCATCGCCCAAGAGTCCCTAGGGTCCTTTCCTAACCACTCAGTCTCTAACTCTTCTAGGGCCTCAGACACATCTCTCAAACAGAGCGTCGGTGGGTCTGAATGTGTCTGCGGGGCGATGTGTGGGTCTCTAGCCTTGGCCAATGCCTGAAGTGGGGAAGGCAACGTTACCACTTCAGCGCGAGTAAGAGCGGCTTATACTCCTACTGGCCCGAGGAGTTTCCCTGAGAGCTGCTTGCAGAAGCACTACCAGGGTTCGAAGATAACCCCACCATCGTTGGTGAGGCTACCTTCGTCAAGACTTTCTTGCCTCGGCACGTTCGAGACGTGTGGCCATAGTTGCCACAGTTCATGCACGTGCCCCTAGCAACTCGGTCTCTCCACACCTCGTACTCTAAACCAAGCTTCACCTATGCGGGTGTCCCTTGGTCTCCCTAACCCGTGGACCGTACTACCTTCTTCTTCCCGGTCCCCCTAGCCTTTTCTTTGATGGGTGCCACGACTCCACCATATGAAGTTTTACTAGCCCCATTCTGTTCTGTCAACTCCCCAAGGTCTGGGAAATCGTCAATCTCAGTCGTTTAACCATTGTGGTCAACGAACATTAACTGACCCTTCTTCTTCCAGTCTTGGGGCAGTCTCTCCCTACCATCCTGAGATGCCTTATGCGCAGATCCTAGCTTTGCCTTTATGTCCAAAGCTTTCTTACTAAAAGTAGCGGAGGTGTGCTGGTCGACATAGGCTTCATCAACCAGCTTGGTCCTTACTTCTGTGGGTAGGCTCCTTAGGTAATCCGTCAGGAGAACCTGCTGGTCAAAGCGCACACCAGGTACCACGAGTAGATGCTCTATGGTATCCGTGAACTCTCTAACATCCTTGAACCTACGGGCACAAAAAGATTGTTGATAGCATCGGTGGCCTTTTGAGCCCCTTGCGGGCCATGCCACCTGTTGTAGACGGACCGTACGGACTGTTCCAATGTCTGGGTCTGGGCCCAAGCATCGAAATCTTGACCGTTGCCCTGCTGCTGCACTAAGCCATTCAACCAGAGGGCTGCTGACCCCTCTAGAAAGGAGGCAGCCACAACAACTTTTTGCTCTGGCCTGGTGAGCTTGTGCCTCACATAAGTAGGCACAGTCCTCACTCAGGTGTCTAAGTCCTCTTCCTTCTTCCTATCTCCAAAGAAGGGCTTGGGACTCATCAAGGGTATCTTAGGCATCCTCAACATAGGCTGCATGAGCCTAGGGGCTTGCTGCAGTGGCTGCCTAGCCACTGAAACAGGCTGTTGCACACTAACTTGGGCCTGGCTTGACAGTGGGACTGTAGTAACCACTGTTGTAGATGGTACGGATGAGACTCTTTGAACCGGACCACTCGCTACTCCTACACCACCCGGAGGGGGCATGCCAAACATAGGAGAAAAGGGTTGCCCCGTTGGTCGCGGCATCGTTGAAGGACCCGCGCCTGCAGGGGGAACTACAGCAAACTGTGGCAGCCTCATCACTGGACGAGGAGCTTGGAGTGCATCCAGAATTCGTTTCTGGCCTGCCACTAGAGCAGTCAGCAGTTCCTGTTGAACTGTCTGCGCTTCTGCTGTAGATAGGATAGCATTTCGCAGCACGCGTCCAACAGGTTATAATGTCGCCTCATCTAGGTCCTCTAGTCTGCCTAGTGCCTCTACCCTACTCTCTAATCTGGCTTTCGTCATGGTTGCTTTTCTTCTCCTCTCTGATGCTTCGTCCAACTGTCGTCGTAACTCATGCTGAAGTTCTTCTGCTTTTTGGATTTCTATGTCCTCAGGTGTGAGTAGAACCTGTTGGCTGACTTGCAAGCCAATAGTCTGACTAACTGCACCCGATCCACCCTGTCGAGCTCTTGACAAAGAAGTCTAGGAGATGGACTGCGATGTCGAAGAGACGGTAGCCATTGCAGTCGCTAAGCTGGCTGTTGCGTCCCTATTCCTCCTCGCCGCTGCCCTCTCCCTAGCTTCCCTTCGTAACCTCCTCTTCTCTCCTGGACCTAACTCCAAGAAAGTCAAAGGTTGACTAAGAGCGGTTCTCCGTGTGGTCCTAATGGGTTGCATTAGCCTTTGCTCCTCCTCATTGCGGTCTTCACTCATGAGCTACGGTTTGTGTGATCTAAAGTGGAACTCACACTGAATCCTACCTTAGCGTGACTCACAACCGCCTGTGATATACAACTATTATCGATCGGCGGGAACATAAACAATTAGGTGATATAGTCACAACTAATGTGAGGTCCTACAGGATATATCACACCTATTTTTAGATTAGTCTAATACAGATTGCCTTACAGCAGAGAGTCTAGTCTGTCTGTAGTTGTCTGTCACTTGTCAGCAAAGTCTGTAACAACTAACTAATCAAAGATAGAAATAACATCTCCTGCTGCAGATGTATACTGGATGGCAGATTGATAGTTGATTGCCATTGTGAACAGTCACCGGAATCCCCCCTCCCCCTATATCCTTCCTGAGTGGTCACTTTGTGTCAACGTCCTGAGCATCTGGTTGAGGTGTGCAATCCGGCCCACCCCTGTGCCCCAAGTCAATGCCGAACTTGCCAGCCCATGCACCTTATTTACCCTCGCATGCAACGAGCCTTACACCCGGTTGATCTGGCTGATCAGGAGGGATTTAAGGAGAGCCCCCATCTCCTCAGGAATTATTTAACGTCGCAGACAGGACGACGATCACAGCCAGATTCAAGTCCGAGTCCCCAGCCAGAAATGTTTAAAGACGGTCTGGTAAGCGTCTATCAAAGGGCTGGCATGCCTTGCATGACCTCTATTGCGCAAGCAGCAGTACCAAGGACTTGCAGCAAAGCATGCGTGTACTAGTCCCAGCGGGTTGGCATGGTGACCGTGACCCGAGTGCTTCGTCCAGGGCCCTTCAGAGGCTTCGCCCGTCTCCCACCAGCTTGCTGCCCAGGAAGAATGTCGACTCTCAAGGTTTAGCGCTCGCGACACCTCACATCGAGAGGACTCTCAAGACAGAACTCACTTCCTCACGGTAAGAAGCAATGAAGAGGGTAGATAAGGAAGAGAGCAACGTACCTCATAAATGCTGTGCCCAACCACAGATGTCTCACCGGCAACCTGATGTGCAATTATGATGACCGGTCTTTGCCTCGGCACAACCAACAGCAGAATGCGGTTCCACCTCAGCTTAATATGCGAAGCACCAATAGCTATTGCGAAGAACCAATGAAGCGCAATATGAACCAGCTCTGATACCAAATTGCAAGAAAAATAAGCAACAGCGAGATGACAATTCCAGATCACACCATCACATTGAAAGCCAGCGTGTCCAGAGAGCAGCATTGCACCAATAATACACCAATGGAGGTTCGTAGCACTGAAAACCAATGTTCATGGAGAGCATACTCTCTCCTCTCAACAACAGAGTCCAGTTCCTTCNTACACCAATGGAGGTTCGTAGCACTGAAAACCAATGTTCATGGAGAGCATACTCTCTCCTCTCAACAACAGAGTCCAGTTCCTTCACACTCCCACATGGCGCTCAGCGCCCAGCCTACTCCTTCACAACTACTACAGACTACGAAATGACAATGCAACTGTTGACATCAGCGGCAGCCCGAAGTACTTGAAGATATCGCCCATGCAGACCATCACCAATACAAGGTATGTGCCCTCACATCATCRTCATCATCATCATCCTTCACCTATCCCCTGACTACACCCACGTCTGTCCTCTGTTTTACCCGAAGACCACCCCTGCGCCTCACTGTAGTCCAAGCCCACCAGTTCTGGTGGCTGGGCTATGGCGCTGCCCTCAGCAGTGCCCTTCTTCCCTGCACGACCGCACGTGCTGCACCTCGCCTCTCAGCGCCAGCCAGCAGCCGCGAGCCTTTGCTCCACCAGCGCTGCTGCCAGCATGCGAGTGCCTGAATGAGGCTACCTGGCCAGAGCTCTTTCCTTTATGGAAAGAACTGGCCTGCTCACGCAGCCTGGCTGGGCTGGCCTGGGCCCAGAAGCTTCCGGAAGGCCCCAGGAGGCTGCCTGGATGCAGCAGCTACTGGGCTGCTGGGCCTAGTTCGGTTGGGTGCCCAATTGTCTCTGTATGAGGCTGTGAATCACGCCCAGGGCCTGCATTCTTTGGAAAGGCCCGGAAGGCCGTGGAAATGTCTTTGTTGCTCGGCCTGTGTTTCTTTCAACCAACTGGCGCGTCGCGACTGCCTGGACCCCAAATATGAAATTGACAGTCGAGGGCCTCTTGCAAAAAGCCAGGCCCGCCCTCACTTAGGGCGGGCACGTCCGCCTTCACTTAGGGGGGGTAATGCTGCAAACAGGGCCCCATAGGCCTACCGAGGACCCTGATCCTCGCAATATCCTTCTTTTTGAAAATTTCGATTTCCTGTTGCATTTCCCGTTACTTAGAAATTCGGAATATCTTCTTTTTTCGAAATCCGTTTTTCTGAAAACGGTACTGCAGGTATTATTTTCCAAACTGCGAATACTCACATCAGAGTAAATCCGAATACTTTTCATTTCTTTTCGGAATTTTTTTTTTTTTTTTTCGCAGCTCTAGGATTTTGTCAGTCAGTTCTATAAATCATTTAAAGTCTGAAGTTTCGAATTTTTTTCTCATTGATAGTTTCGCACTTCAACGGAGGTTGGGAGACCTACTGAACTTACAAAACTCGGGATTTTTATTATTTCGAATTTTTTTTTGCAAAGTTCAGACTTTTCTTTTTTGATCAGTGGCTCCTTATCTGGGCGATTCTTCCCACCCACCCTCCCCACCTATGTTGTTGCCCCCTCTGGCCTTACCTTCTCTATCTATGTCCGGGTACCCCCTGCGACGGCATTGGTTAGTTGCCACGTCAGCAGGCCATGTCAGCGGACTACGTTAGCAGGACACGCCAGCAGACCACGTCAGCACGACACGTCAGCAGGACACGTCAGCAGGCCACGTCAGCCGACAGAGCAGGAAATACCACGTCAGCAGGCCCCCGGCCTGGTCTATGCTGTTGCGGTCACATACAACCGTCATGGACCAGAGGTCCGGAGAAGCAGACGAGGCCTATCAGGCCCGGATGCTGGCTTGGAGTACCGAAACAAAGAAACGGGCGGATGACGCAGCAGCAGCAGCGAAGAAGAAGGCAGAGGACGCCGAACAGGCACGTCTGCTGGCAATTGAACAACAGCGCCAGCATGACGAGGCAGCAGCAATGGCTGCTGATAAGGAAAGAGTTCAACGTCGTGAGAAGATATTTAACGGAGAGCGGACCTTGCTCACAATGGCAGCGGAACGGCGGACCGAGGCCGAGAATGGAAAGATGGAGGATTGCCAAAACAAGATCGCTCTCCTCCTCTCCCAACTCACAGACCTCCTGGCTACATGCATTACACAGCAGGAGGACATCCACAGCCTCGACGACTCGCTGGCTCAAGTCCAAGGCCGCCTCCGGCAGCTGGAGCAGCGACCTGTCGCCGCCCCCGATGCCAGCGCTTCCAACACCTCCGATCGCCTCGAAGCATTGGAGATGGACGTCGGCTCCCTGAAGGACGGCGTGCAGTTACAGGTACCGCCTCGCAACAGTTGGAACAACTGATCTGTACCACCGCCAACACCTCAAGTTCGGAACTGCGCGAGACAGCTCCATAACGCAACAGTTGGAACAGCGGATCTGTACTACCGCCAACACCTCAAGTTCGGAAACGTCGTACGTGGAACAGCGGATCTGTACTACCAGCACCACGCGTACTTATACTCCCGGTCGGGGGGCGCATGCCAGGCATGGTTGGACAATCTCTTGTCCAAGTACGGCGTAGTAGCTGGCGACTTGCACACCAAGATCAGTTGGGATGATCTGAAGGCGGCTTGGCACAAGCGGTTCCAAGTCGAGCCGCCGGAGATCAAGGCTATGGACAAGCTCATGGTCTTTGAACAATGCACGTTGGCAAGTACAGACTGGATTGTCGAGTACCAATGCTTGACATCAGTCCTTGACATCCAGATGGGCTTCAAGGCCATCCGCCACTATTTCATCTCAAGGTCTTGTCCAGCATTAAGTAATGCCCTGACTCACGTCGAGGACACCTTGACGACGACGGCAGAACTTTTTGACAAGGCCGCGCAGATCATCATTACGAACAAGGAGGCTAAGAACCTGCGTTCGTCTACGGTAGGCCCGAGCAGAGACCAACATCAGCCAAGAGTGGCCGTGGTCGCGGCGGCAACGCCGTTTGACCAAACTAGCGAGGCCGTGTCTGCCCATGAAGGAAACAGACTCGCAGCTGCCCAGGAAGGTGGCCGCCCCGGCAGAGGCCGAGGACGCGAAAAGACGAAGACACACACCGCATCTAGCCCCGGGCCCGGCGCAGCAGCTCCAGCCCCATGGTCCCAATATGGCATCTCTGAGCAAGCATTCAAGGCGCGCACGAGATTCCACTATTGCCTCTGGTGCAACAGCAATCTCCATGAGACACTGGCCTGCCCATTGAAAGGCGAGGGCAAACAAGGAAATTAAGCACCGCCGAGAGTGACTCGACAACACTCTCGACGCCTCCGGAACCGGTTTCTTCACGAGTAACCGGCCTTCATTCCGAGGCGCATGCGGAAGTCGATAGTCCTCTTCTATATTATTTTGAGGACTATGTTGCCCGGTTTGTTCCTACGCTGGGTACTCAAGCTCCACGACTAGACGTGTGTGCGGCATCTTCTCCGTCCGGCAGCGGCGACTTAGCGTCTTCAAGTGGTTCTTCACGGGATTCGGCGCGCGAGTTCAACATAGAGGTATTGGACCCGCTCACGTCCGAGGACATTGCATGGCTTCCTCTCCCGACCACAGGCCGCTTGCCGGGACCGCAAAGCACAGCACTATGCGTTCATCTCCACATGTACTTATCCTTCTATGCACCACCAACTTCGTCGACGGATGATGAATACCTGGTGGGGGACATCCTTGCGTATGTTACCGAGGTGGCCCGCGAGTTTCGCACACAGCGGTACGATGACAACAACGCACCGATCATGTATGTCCGCATCCAGGTTGGGCAAGCGTCCTGCAATGCTTTGCTGGATAGCGGCGCGTCTCGCAATTTCATGAGCCAATCTTTTATGCAAAGGGCTGGCCTTGGCGCACAAGTTCAGAGGAAGGCAAACCCGACGGCGATCAAGTTGGCGGATGCGAAAATGCAGCAACTTCTCGACCGTTACATCGACGCCGTACCGGTTTATTTCGCACTTCATGCATGCGAACCGGTTACGTTCGACATTCTCGACACGGACTTCAACATCATTTTGGGAATGCCTTGGCTTGCAAGTGCGGATCACACGGTCAACTTCCACCGGCGGACTCTTAGCGTTCGCGACGCCTTCGGCGTCGAAGTGGCGTGTACTATTCCTCTTCCGCACCCTTCGATTTAGTGCCAAGTGGTGACGGCCAAATCATTCCGGGCGACTTGCACTTACGAGCAGCCTGAGGAGATTGGCCTATGTTTTCTACGGACCGTCGCGGTAGCCGACTCTTCACCCACGGACTTGTCTTCGGACCCTCGGGTGATGCGGTAGCTGGACGAGTTCGCCGACATCTTCGAGTCACCTACCGGTGTGGTGCCGGATCGGCCGATCTCTCATGAGATCATTCTTGAGACCGGTGTCGTGCCGCCGAAAGGTTGCATCTATCGGATGAGCGAGGATGAACTTGTGGTGCTATGCGCACAACTCGACGATTTGTTGGCCAAGGGCTGGATCCGCCCTAGTAGCTCCCCATATGGAGCACCAGTTCTCTTCGTCCGGAAGAAGAACAAGGATCTACGATTGTGTATCGACTACCGCAAGCTCAACGCGCAAACCGTCAAGAATGAGGGGCCTTTTCCTCACATCGACGATCTTCTTGAGCGATCGAGCGACGCAAAGTATTTTTCCAAGTTGGATTTGAAATCGGGAAATCATCAAATCTCGACCCGGCTGAATGATCGCTACAAATCCGCGTTCAAGACGCGGTACAGGCATTTTGAGTGGGTGGTCATGCCTTTTGGCCTCACCAACGCCCCGACGACCTTTCAAGCGGTAATGACCAACGAGTTTCGTGCAATGTTGAACCGGTTCGTGCTGGTCTACTTATACGATATTCTCGTCTATAGCCGGACTTTGGAGGATCATCTTCGGCATCTTCGACGAGTGTTGGAGACACTCCGCCACGCCAAGTACAAGGCCAACCGCGACAAGTGCGAATTTGTCCGGCAGCTGGAATACTTGGGCCATTTTGTCACACCGGAGGGCATCAGTCCGGTATCGGACAAGATTTAAGCCATCCAAGAGTGGTCGGAGCCTCGGAATGTCACGGATGTTCGTTCGTTCCTTGGCCTCGCCGACTACTATCAACGTTTCATCAAAGGCTACTCGAAGATCACGGCCCACTTGACCAAGCTTCAATGCGAGGATCGACCGTTTGACTTCGGAGAGGAGGCACGGGAATCATTTTTGGCTCTCAAAGCGGCGCTATTATCTGCGGAGGTCATGCACATTTGCGACCCGCTTTTGCCTACGTGCGTCACTACGGATGGCATTGGTGCCGTCCTCGAGCAACATGATGGTGTGGACTAGCACCCGGTCGAGTACTTCAGCAAGAAAGTGCCCTTTGTGCATTCCATTGACGATGCACGCAAGAAGGAGCTCCTCGCCTTCGTCCACGCGCTCAAGCGGTGGCGGCACTTCCTCCTTGGTCGAAGCCAATTCCGATGGGTAACAGACAACAATCCGTTGGTCTTTTACAAGACCCAAGACACGGTCAACAACACCATCGCTCGATGGATGGCTTTCATCGACCAGTTCGACTTCTTTCCCGATCACATTCCCGGGAAGTCGAACTGTTTTGCGGATGCTCTTTCACGGCGTCCGGATCATTGTACCGCGGTCTACTCAACCTTCGAGATCAACGATGACCTGCGGAACAGCTTCATCCGCGACTACCAAGCCGACCCCGAGTTTCACGACAAGTACGCGAATTGCTCCTCTCCTAATCCGGCGCCTTCTCACTACCGGATCCAAGAGGGGTACTTGCTTGTCCACACACGGGGGAAGGACCTTCTTTGCGTACCGAGTGATTCTCACTTGCGTACACAGCTTCTTGGCGAGTTCCACAATGCTCCCGCCACCAGACACTTTGGAGTTAATCGCACGATTGGCCGACTTCGCGAACGATTTTGGTGGCCTGGCCCTCTCGGCGACGTCACGCGCTATTGCGTGTCATGCGAGGTTTGCCGACGCTGCAAATCCCGCAACCATCGTCCATACGGCGAGTTACGACCATTACCAGTCCCGTTGAGGCGAAGGGAAGCGATTGCCATGGACATTACCGGCCTGTTCCCCAAGCACAAGACCGGAGTGGATGGGATTCTCACAGTGGTCGACCGACTCACCAAGTTCGCCATGTTTTTGCCTTGTCGCTATCATGCCAAGGCACTGGAGTTGGCCGAGGTTCTCTACGCCGGTTGGATTCGAACCAAGGGTTACCCCTAGGAAATTGTCTGCGATCGCGACACTCGGTTCATGTCCAATTTTTGGTTGGCGCTCAACAAGCGATGGGGCTCATTTCTCAAGCCCAATTCAGCTCGCCACCCTCAAACCGATGGCCAAACAGAGAGGGCGCACCAGACTGTACAGGTTCACCTTCGCACTCTCATTCGTCCTGACCAGAAGGACTGGGTTGAGCGGCTGCCGGATGTGGAGTTGGCCTACAACTCTTCCATCCACCTGGCTATCGGGATATCGCCTTTCAAGTTCGAGCACGGCTCACCGGTCACTTCACCATTGGACATTATCACTCCACGAACGGCCGAGAGTGACGACCATCTTCTTTTCTTGCGTCGAATGCAAGAGCTTCTTGTCAAGGCACGCGATCGGATGGCTTAGACGCAGCAGCGTATGAGCCAGCATGCCAATCGCTAGGGTCTTCCTTGCCCATTCCGCGCAGGCGACCTCGTTTGGGTTTCCGCAGCGGAATTCAGCCTTGAACAAGACATCTCTTGCAAGCTCCTCCCGAAATGGATGGGGCCTTGGCCGATCGTAGCACCTGCTGGGGACGCACCCGAGGGACCTTCCTTCACGATTCAAGTGCCCGCCCACTTGCTCGTCTACCCAGTCTTTCAGTGCTTCAAGTTGGCTCTTTACACACCAGCGGAACATGACGATTTTCCTGGGAGACAAGCCTGAATTTCAGGTTTTCAGCCTGAAGGACGCAGGGCCTGGAAAATGGCCCTCATGTGCAGGCACAGCATGTAACACCCCCACCTCCTTATGAAGTCAAGTCGGGGCGAGGGCGAAGCCGACGATCTGAAGGTGGAACCTGGACGCGGGCGCGGCGTGGAGCCGAAGAAACCGGCTTGGCTTGCATCTTGCATTCGTAGCTTGCGAGAGCGTCTGGAGCTGTTGCTTGAAGTTTCGCACGGGTCAACCAACGGTCAACTCGGTGTGTGCAGTATGCAAAATGCACCAAATACTCGGTTGGCCTGTTGCCGTAGCGTCGCTTGGAGATAATGTGCCGCCCTCCTGAAAACCGTCCATAGAGGGTGGGTCTTGGGAGCCTGAAATTCAGGCTAAAAGCGTGAAAACCAAGGCCTACAGGCCCCGCGGCTGTTCAGCCCGAAAGCCTGAAAACAGGGGCCTACAGTCCCTGTGTCGTTTTAGACTAAAAATGGCAATAGCCTTTTTAGCCCGAAACGGAGTGCCATTTTCGGTCGACCGGCCCTGAAACTCGGGCACCGAACCAGGGTTTCGGGAACAGGCTATTCTTAGCCTATTCCCACGCCAGCCTCAACAGATGCTGCAGCGCCAGCCCTTGGCACACTTCGGCATTGGCAAGAGCAGCCTCCTTGACCTGCCTCGCCCTTCAGGCAGTCAGGAGGCAGGCCGAGGTAGTACATAGGGACTTCCCATGCACTTCACAGGTAGGCAGGAGGCAGTAGTCTTCAGGATTCGGCAGCAGCACTCTGGAGGGAGCGCTGCAGGAGTAGTAGTAGTGTTAGCCTTAGTCTTCAGCGCTGGGCGCAGTAGGTAGCTGTAGTCTCCAGCGCTGGGCGCCATAGCTAGGATGGCACTAGAGAGAGAGAGAGATTGGGCGGAGGCCAGAGGTACTTACCTGCAGCGCCGTTGCTCCAGCTTCGTCTTCGAGGTACCTGCAGCACAGTGCCAACTTCACAGGTTAGTATCTGGCTCGTGACAGAGAGAGAGTTCTTCTTCTTCCTCTTCTCAGTCCACCATCTCCCTCTCACCCTCTCCTTATCTGGCTTCACTGCATCTGCAGACTACGAGAGAAGAGTGAGAGAGAGAGCTTGGTGACATTGGATCCAGACTCGACTTTTGGGCTTCAGACATTACGACGATGGATTATTTGGGACTTGTGACAAAGACTTGGTGTTGACGACATTCCCATCTCTCTCCCTCCTTTCATCTGATCCCCTCCTCTTCGTCCGTGTATGTCTGGACCTGGCGCTTTCCTGTGTACAACGCCAGGCTCCTTCACACCTGGTGATGGATACAATGTTTGTTTGGCCTGTGTTCAAACATGGATTGGGCTAGTCATTAGCATTCTAGCATTTTGCTTCGCTATCTGATACTATGTGAACGAGGTCAGTCTCGGTCAGGTCAGGATTTCTATCCAAGTCTTCCCTGCGCTATTCAGCACCATTTTGTATGTATTAGAATGCACATTGCTTGTTGAGATTCTACTTGCACTGAATTGTCCATTCAGGCCTTTTTATCACATTGTGGATCCTCGGTTTCTATGTACATCGCCCAACTGGGCATGTAACACTGCCGACCCACGTCTTTACCCCCACACACGATGTCCACGTCACCCACTTAGACCACGACCTCTTCCACCGGCTGTCTGCGCCCAAGCCCGGCTATAGCTGGCTTGGCGTGGCGCTGCCTCATGCAGCGCTGTCCACCCACAAGCGCCCGCGTGCGCCCAGGTACCTCCTGCTAGCAGCTGCAAGCACTGCCGCATTACACACAAGTGCTAGAATGAATCACGTGTTGCCTGACTCTTTCCTATTTGCGAAGTGGCCAGTCCCGATAGCCTCCAAAACTGGAAGGCTCATGTGCCTAGTAGCTTCATGTTGGGTTAAGTTATCTGCTCCCAGGTCCAATTCAAATAGTGGCCTGGGACGGAAACAATTTAAGGGCGTGCGACCTCCGGACGTGGCCGGCGTTGCTCTCTGCGTCGTGATAGGCCGAAAAGCCTGCTTCCACGTAGGACCGGGAAGAGCCTAGAAGGCTCAGGAAGACCTAGTTGCTCATGAGCAGGAGGGCCTCAGAATGACAAAATTTATGCTCAATGAGGTGTGCAGGCCCGCCTTCACTTAGGGCGGGCACAAGGCTTGCGGCTCACCTCACAATCCTGCCCCCAACTGCAGAATTCTCACCAGTTGACCTGCTGTGCATTTATATTGACCGGTCATTGCCTAGGCACAACCCGCAATATAATGCAGTTCAACCTTGTCAAACGGTTTTCACCTTTGCGGTAGCAAATGCAGATCCCAGGGCTCGATCCCCAGACCTTGCCCGTAACCGTGTACAGTATCAGTTTTCCGGTGTGTGTTTGAACCTGTTACGGACTCTGCCAGGGCTCGATCCCTGGTCTATCTTTTTGCTGTTTCGGCTCTCTCCCTCTCTCTCCCAGCCTCGTTGCCTCAACCCCGTTACACTGATATCGGAGCGGTTCGAACCCGTCAGACCCACCCTGCTTCGTCGTCACCACCTGGCCATCATCAGCATCATCGTCGTGATCGTCGTCGTAGTGCCACGTCATTGTCGTGTTTATCGCCGTCGTGCCACGTCATCATCGTCATCGTCGCGATCGTCGTCGTGGTGCCACGTCATCATCGTCACCGTCGCGATCGCCATCGCCGTGCCCGTCGTCCTCCTCGCCGCGTCGTGCCATCCTCGTCATTGTCGTTGCTACCTCCGTGTAGACAAGTAATCG